GACTTCGAGGAACCCGCGAGCCCCGCCCCCAGCTCGTGCCCGCCCCCCGGAGGCCACGTGAGCCGCGGCGGCCCCGCCCCTCCCCGCCCCCGGCGCTTTCCCGCCTTGCGCGCGCGCGGCGTGTGTCGTCACGCTCGTGCGCCGGGGGGGGGCGGGGGGAATGTGAGGGGCGGGTCACGTGGGCGGCTGAGGGGCGGCCGCGGGAGCGCCGTGCTGAGGGCGGGGGGAGGGGGGCGGCCGCTGTCTGTCTGTCCGTCTGTCCGAGCGTCTGACGGCCGCAATGCAGAACGTCATCAACACGGTGAAGGGGAAGGCCCTGGAGGTGGCCGAATACCTCACGCCCGTTCTCAAGGTGCCGGTCCTGCGCGGGAGCTGGGATGGGGAGGAGGGACGCCCATGGCCGCCCCCGCCTGCGGCCGCACTTCCCTGTCCGAGCGGCCGGGAGTCGCTCCACTTGCCCGGGAACCGGCTGTCGGTGGCCTTGGCGACCGGGCCCGAGGAGCTGYGGGGCTCGGGGGCGCGGTGCTGGGCGTGCCGGGCGCAGCCATCGGCCCTCACCCCSCTTCGGGCCGGAGGGGATGGGGGGAACCCGAGTTATCGCTCACATCCCACGGGGAGCGGGGAGGACCCATCTGGGAGCGGTGAAGAACAGCTCTTGATGGTCCTGATTCTCAAGGARTGACTTAAATGTGTTGCCGTTTGCTGTTAAAGTGGCGAAACTTTTAGCTGGTTTTGTGACCAGGAGTTGAAATCCACGCGTACAGRCAGGTTTGAACCTGGTTTCAAGAATTGCGTTGCAAGGGTTATTTTGGTTAAGAGGGCAGCTTTTTCAGCTGACACAAAAAAATTCCAAACGAAAACAACAAAATTAGCCACATCTTCGTTATGTGAGCAGATGTCACATAGCACAGCTTATTCCTCTATCAGAATTACGGTATTAATTCAAGCCTGTATGCATTAAGTTGCTGAAAATAGTAGAAATGAGTCTCTGGGTCTTTGTAAAGGGGGGCAGTACATCTGTTATAATTCCTGTTATTGCATATTTAGGTAGAAATAAATTGTAGTTTTCTGTAGTTGTTAGACTACATCGTATTCTCTGACTCTTATTTGCAAACAAATTTTTTAGTGTAAACCCCAACTTTGTGTATGACTGCTTAACTTGGCATCAGTTTTTTTACCACTGATTTTGATACTTCTGCATATTTTTGAGAAAACACTTGTTTATGATAACAGTCWCTCTGCCTGTGGCTTTGTGGTTTGACCTTTTATGTGCTTTGCACCCTGCAGCTTACATCTTTCAGTAGACAGCAGCGACAGTCAATTATTAATTGAACTTGTTCCTGTGTGGTATGTGGGATGCTCTTGCCTGCATAGTGGACCTTTCCAGAGTTGCCCACCAATGTGAAATGTGTGGGTTGCAGTGAAGTTGTGGCATGGGAAGGTGAAGGGTCTTGTTTAGCATAGCACAGTTGTTGTACTGGTGTAATAGTGGAAGAAATTCTGTGGCCTGATGTATTACTGGGAGAAGGCAGGTTTAGAATCTCCCAGAAATGGGAAGTGTTAATATTATGTGTATATATTCCCCTTACAAGTGCTTGGAATAAATACTCTTAGTAACTTTAGAAAGAAATGAGACCTGTGTCTCTTGCTGCCAAAGAATTTACTTTGATGAAAAAACTGAACTATCTACCCTCAGGGAACAGAGGATGGATATTGTACATGTAATTCCAGAGACACAAGTTTGTGCACGTTACCTACTGCTTGTTGTTCATTTTGAGGTGAACTACTAAGTTGTCCCCACTGGGGTGTTACACAGTATGTTATTGAGGATTCTGAGTTTTACAGAAATTCAAATTACTTTGATTTCAGTCAGCTAGCACATAACAATGTTACAATGTTTGTACAACTGTTGTTTGCCCTATTTTAATCTTGTTTTTAAGTGCATTTTCTTTAGAATTCAGGCAGAAAGGCAGTAATTAATACCATATGAAACAGGTGCGCTTCTTTCATTTTCTATAACATACGTGATAGCACACATCAGGGGAAGGAACAAGAATAATCASAGTTAGCTGTGGCTGCATTTCTTTAATCTTTTCTGACTGGTTGAATAAGGTRAAATTGTGGCTGGAAGCAAGACATTTTCAGTTGCTGCTTTTAGCCTTGGTAGRAAAAAATGATAGGCTCTTTAGGGCAAGAAGTCAGCTATGCCATGGTTGAAATAGTATTCTTTTTCAAAAGCTGTTTTTGGATAGTTCTAGTGCTGGGGAACAGTAAGATTCCTTGGTGTTTGGGGCTTTTCTGAAGAAATAAACAAGCAGAAGTCAAAACATAATACACTTAGTCTAGATTTGAATATGAAAAAAAGGTGTATTATCCTTAAGCTTCATAAATGACACCTTTAATGCCAAAGTACTTCATTTCTCCATGCAGAGTTAGTCTTGTGTCTGCCATCTAGTCTTTGATCCACAAAAAACCCCACGACAATGTGCAAAAATTGAAATTATTTCCATAGGGTGCATGATGAAGTCACAGAAATGGGTATTAAGAGAGAGTCTGTTACTAAGTTTTTCTATTTAACATTTCTACCCCAAAGAAAAGTTGGTTTGGTCTTTAATTTCTTGACTTTTGTTAACTGCAAAACCTTGTATTGATGCATTGCTGTGCTGTTCAGTGCTTAGAACTCTGGAGTCCTTGACAGCTGGAATCAGTGATTTTCTGATTCTTACTGGCAAATGTAATACTGAGTGCCAGTCATCTTTTCTTCATTATTGCTATATTTGGCAGTAGCAAAAATAAAGTGTTTTGTATAGATGATAATTTTTKGTAATGCCTTCCATTTTGCAACAAGTAATTTTGGGGACCYTACTTTCTCATTTTYTAATGTACGCTGCCTATCAGCCCTRGCAAAGGTTGCTTCCAGGCTGATTAATGGATCTCTGGACAAACTAGTTGCAAAACAAAAGTAGAGAAGATGTTTGTCTTTCTAATAAAGTGGAGTATGTTGATTTGTCAGAAGTTCTCAAAATTTCTAAACTTTTTTTTTTTTATTGCAGGAGTCCAAGTTTAAAGAAACTGGCGTAATTACACCTGAAGAAGTAAGTATTTAGAAACTTGGATTTATTTTGAAAGTAATGACTTTTTTAATGCAAAGCAACCATATTAAACAGATCATGCCTTTGCCAGTTACTGCTTCTTGAAACAATTTCCACRAAGTGAAATTTTTCARTGGCCTTTTTGCTCTACAGATAAASTAGATCAACRTAATTTCTSTTGAGATGGCACTAGGCATCTGAATGTRGGATGGTTTTTCCCTCTATCACGCTGAGAAAAAACTGTAAAGAAGCTGGGTCAACAACTCCATTTGTCATGGGAGTTCAGGACTGAGGCAGGATATATTGATTTTAGAAGTCTTTCCTCTGAATTTGACCAATTCAAARGGGAGCTTTTATCTTTGGAAGAGTCTTTGCTTACTTCTGGTTTGGTTCCTTCCAAGGCTCTGTGAAGAYATTACAGATACTTGTCCTCACCAAGTATCCAATGATTATTATTTTTCCCTCTTCTCTATAGGCTTCTTTAGGCTGGTTGTATTTTGGATTGCTGCCATGCAGTTGTATTTTTTTAAGAACTCCACTGCAAAGAGCAACAAACAGGATTTTTTTTTTCCTGGAATAGAAAGAACACTGACTTGACTGGTGCTGTTTTAACTTCCCCGTTATGCTTTTTCTTGTATGAAAGCATTACTGCTCTGCAAATACTTCGTCTTTACAGAGGTGTGAGAAAATAGTGTTAAGACTGTTAGGTGAAATGAGACGAAACTGAAACAATGAAAAAATGTAAAGATGAAATGGAAAAAAATGGAAGAAGTGATGATTGGTGGAGATAGATAATGTGGACAGAAATACTTTTCCTGATATTGGTGCCTGTATTTTTTCTGCCCTGTTGCCTGGAAGCAAACACTCATTCTCTCTCTCTGACACAGAAGTACCACACAGAAAAACAGGCTTAGCAACGTGGTGTTCTCCTGTTCTGATAACCATTTGTGTGTGTGTGTGTATAAATATTCATATATGTTAAACATTAGTATATGATCTTTGTTACATATATAGGCAAAAATAACCGAGAAATTGGTAGAACATTTGTCTAGGCTATTTGATCGCTTCTTGATTTATGGGAGAAAAATTTGCCATGGTACAGGCAGAAAAGGCAAGATAGCAAGAAYCACACTGTATTACATTAAGCAGTTTGCAGTGTTTAAACACCACTARGAATGTGAATTGTCTGTGGTCTGTGTGTCAAGTTAGATGCTGCTGGGATGARTAAATTTGATCCTTCAAACAGTGGTCAAGGGAACTGCTTATACAGCAAGATTAAATTTTTGTTAAATTTARATGAAGCTGGAGCATGGCTCTGCTKACTGTCCCTTTGACARTCWTTRTACAGTAATGGTTGCTAAAGAAAAATAATGACACTAGGATGTTGTCTTTGAATGAATTTGGATTTCTTGGATAATTTTAGCTGTATTTTAGTCTGAGACACTAACTGGTTTATAGATTTTTATGGTGTTCCTGTGCCTTGCCTCTGAGTATGAATAAATTAGCAATAAGGCTAAAGATGACTCATTAATCAAATTCAACACCTATTCCCTCTTTTCATTTAGCTGTGTACTTGATTTAGTTTCAAAAAATTCTTGCCTGTTAATACCTGCAAAAATAACACCTGTTTTAAATATAAATGTAAATACAGGCAAATTGTTAAAACCATTATTTCCAGGACTAGAAATAAGATGTCCTAAAATTAATCTCCTCCAMTTTGCAGTACTGATTCAAGTATGARACAGTATCAGTGCTTGAGAAATAGAAAGTGAAACCAGCTAGATAATTTTGCTGCCTAACCTGAAAAAAAATGTAGATGAAATTTCAAGTGCTGTTTTAGGGCTATCTGTTAGACTCATAAACAGCACTGTTTTTTCAACTTTAGTAATATATGTCAACATTGGTGTCACAAATAGAGTTCCAGTTCCTCAAACGGACAATTTTAAATAATTCTGGAGTTCTGTTTAGGTTTATTATATAAGAGATAATGAGTTTTAAAATTCCCATGTGTATTGGGAGGGTTTACTGGTGTTTTTTTAAGAGATTTCACTTTTGCCAGAGGCTTCTGTTGAAAAATGGGTGAAAGGGAAGCACTTCTGCTGAGATTAAGCCTGTTAATCCATGTGCAGTATGTGCTGTGGTGTTTTCCACTGCGCTGATCCCCTCCCTTTTCAGAACACGGTGAGGAAATGGCTGTGACCTGCTGCAAGCCTGTTATGTCACACTGCAGCAGCTTCTGGGCAGCCAGGGAGGGTGGTGTTATAAACTGGCACTTCAAGACAAGAAAGCACCTGTAGCAATAGCTGTGCTCCTCATATTCCAAAGTGACTGCTGCAAAGCCCACAAAAATCACTTTTCTTAAGTGTGGGCTTGCCTTCCTCAATTTATGTGTACAATATACAAGCCTTGAGGGTTAGACTTTGCTGCGTGRATTTTGAGTTTGTTCACAAGTCTAGCATGACATTGCTGGCGAGTTTAACGTGACAGTATCACTTTGAAATATTAGTACAGTTTTATAAAAGGCTTCATCTTTGATGCTAAGAACAAATAGAGTGACTATTTTTTAAAACTATTTTTTCAGAACAAAGTTTTCTATAAGATTCTTGGTGTATTATGTATGTGGTAATCCATTATTAGTTAACCTCAATGATCAGCTATTATAGTGAGAGTCGTTATATAAAATGTATGCTGTCTATTCCTTTGTTGCAATTCTCTCRCTGATTCAGTGGATTGATGGTCCTGTCGTGCTTTTCTTGCTGCAAAATAGTTTTGAAGGAAAGAGAATTAAACTCTTTTTTTTTCATTAAGCTCTTCGTTGTCTTTGTAAAAGTTTAATAGCTGTAAATTAAAATAATTTCTTTATTACAAAGTAAACAATATTGCTAAGTCCGGAAATGTTTTTGATTCTGACTAGACTGGCAGGTAGTACCACAGCTTTTGAAACTTCCTGAATTTGCTGTGGTGCTTAGCGAGCATTTCAGGTGAAGTCAATTTAATCTTTTCATTTTCATGGTCAGCTGAGAAATGGGRTTAAAATAAAGCATCAAGCTGATTAAAACTTTCATTAATTACATAGTTAATCAATCAAAGAAATGTGGAACTGAAATGCTAATACTGAGAAAAAATTGTTTCCTTGGGCCATATTTAACAGTAATTTTTTTTCCTGCCTCAACAGTTTGTTGCAGCTGGAGATCATTTAGTTCACCACTGTCCTACTTGGCAATGGTAAGTAAAATTGAAAGAATTGTAGAAAGCTGGCACTCCTGCCTGTGCTTCGATGTGTTTCCATTGGATTCAGCTATACAGTTGTCTCATTTCAGAGCAGTAAGTGGACTTTTCCAGTAGAGCTTTTATGATGGATATGTATTTAAGTCAGGCAGGGCTTTAGTAATTGCTGTATAACATCAGTTGAGATGAGGATTTGTTTGAGCATTTTTTGTTTGTTTCTCAGGTTTTAGGGGCAATAGGTTGTTACGAATGCCTTTAGTGCTTAGCCCTTGGGAATTCTTTCTATTTCATATACAGTAAGGGTGCAAATTAGGTGCTTCCTTTTGTTTTACTGGTGTCTTTCATTGTGAACTAATCTGCCCCTAAATGAGCATTGTCTGTGCAGTTGGTATCATCAGGGTCTTGGCTCTGTACTGGGCCACAAATTGTTGAAGGAGAAATTACTATACTTGAATCACTTTTACCCTGTCTTTTTTCCATCTCCTTCAGAGAARACATGATGTTGAGTATAGAAGCAGTTTTGGTTTGGCTATTTAGAATGTTACTCTTATTTCAAACCAAGCACTGCTAAAGGTGAAGGCAAATGCTTGAGCAATGTGAAATTAAGAGTACTTAAGCAGTAGTGACTATGGACAGGTTTGATATTTATAGAGGTCTATTTCTTGCTTTTCTGAAGTTGCTTGCTTCCGACATTTGCGACTTTGTTGTTGCTGATCCTAGAAAATTTTATATAGAATAGATTATTCTGTCAACACATCTTTGCTTGGCCATCTCAAGGTGAAAGTTGTTTTTGAGGCATAAAATGGTTTTGATCCCAGAATAGTTCAGGGGTGGCCAAGCTTTCTAACACCATACCAAATGTATATAAGGAAGAGTAAAGTCATAGCAAACTGATTCTGAGAATAGGTCAAGAGGATTATATAAAATGTTCCTGACACAACCTGAAAATAGAAGGGTTCTTTTGTTTGCAGGTCATCACATTCTCAAATGGTGCACTTCATTTTACAGGGCTTCAGGAGAAGAACTAAAAGTCAAAGCTTATCTGCCAACAGACAAACAGTTTTTGGTAACTAAAAATGGTAAGGCTGAAATTTAAATGTAAGTGTTCTTAGAATTGACAGCATAGGTGTCTGTGCTATCAACTCTACTGATTGCATTGATAGGGGAATCAAGTATGTCGCACTTYGGATAGACTGGCTTTGTGATATTAAAGCAATTTTTCTTGCACTTAAAAATTCTTTTTAGATCACTTTATAATACAGSTTTATACAGGAAATAAAGATTGCCTTGGTCGAGTATGAGTTAACTTTAAACATTATAAATCTCTTTGTCTGTCTTCGCTTCCAGTCATGTTCGTATGTTTATTTTCCTCTTTTGGAGACTCAGACTATTAAAAAGTTCTTGAAATGTCTTTCATAGTGACACTGATACTTCTGATTCAAATATGTAATTAATGTCAATACCCTTATCAATAATAATAATAATATAGAAATGATCTTCAATTAATTTTTTATCAACTTCACAGTTGTGTTTATATAATACATGTGGCGACTGCCTTTTTAATGGATAAGAAGGATAACATTTTGGTACAATCATGTGGAAGTCCAAAAGATCTTGTACCAAAATGTGTCAAAGCCATTAGATGAACCTTTAGTACTAAGAACAGCCCGGGGAGATTTTTGCCTGCAGAGAGTTGTATTATRTGCTTGGATTTTCCTTGCTGGCTTTTGGAGTCTTGCAGTGCACTATCATGTGAAAATTACTACAGTAGTGTTGGACAATCTCGTGACATGGTCTTATGATTTGACAGCCAGTTACCTGCTATGTTTCTCTTCCTGCCATTTCTGAGGTTCCTCATTGCTCTCATCCTTCTTGATCACATTTCTAAAATAGTGTGTTGCCTGCTGCTGGTGTCACACTGGCCTCCCACCTGAGTAAAAACTGTGGGCAATAGGTGAGACTGGGAGCCATCGTACAGACCTCATTTTGGAAGTCTTTGGGTGACTTACTCTGACGTCATACCCCTTTCCTCCCTTTCTGAATGGTCAAAGCAGTTTTCAAATGCTGCACTTCATGCAGCAGATTTGTTTTTCTCCATGTAAATAGAAAAGGAAGGGGTATTTTCTACATAGTCCTTGTTTATGCTTTGCCTTCATCAGATATTCACTCTTTCTTTGACTGTTTTCTGAAAACAGTATCTAAATCCCTATTCTAATGGCCCTGTAACACATATAAAAGAATTTATTCTCCATATCACATAAATTCTGACCTTCTAAACTTCTAGATCTTAAATTGTAATGAAATATACCTAATGTATTGCATAAATAGATGATGTAAACTTTTAGCAGAATTTTAGAGCCAAATGAGTTTGAAAAACTGATGAAAATCCAGAAAAAATTGTCCTTAGTTGTTTACCAATGTGAAGAAAAGAAATAGGTTGTCTCCAGTTGTTAACAAATGAGAAGTTAATTATTTTCTGATCCTTAAGAGATTGGATGTAACTGTTCTAATACTTAACAGAAAGATGAACTTGTAAGGCTACTGCAGTCATATTGTACATGAAGTAAAATATCTGGTGCAGCATGTCAGCGTATTTTTGTAAGTTGACACTTTTSCATTTGAAATRCAGCTTYASGATTYCTTAAATAAGGATATATGAAATCCTGCCGCATTTTAGAAGGCCTTGTAGGATAATGTCATGCTCCAATCTGTATAAGAATGACTGACTGCATTCTTTTTGTTTTGCCATTTTTTRTAGTGCCGTGCTATAAAAGGTGTAAGCAGATGGAGTACTCAGATGAGCAGGAAGCAATTATAGAAGAAGATGATGGTGATGGGGGATGGGTAGACACTTTCCACAATGCAGGTATTCAAGGTCTTGCTTCAGGCTTTGCATTTGGTAATCTGATTTTCAGTTTCCACTCTTAGAAAGTAAAATCTTTCTTATATATGGATGTTTGTGTACCATTATTTGGTCTGGGGAAGTAAGCTACATTATCAGCTACCCACCTGATTGGTGCACAGTGTTTAACTGTATGGCTGTATATGCTTGAAACAGGCTCCTCTTCAGAGATTATGGCAATTATTTCAGTATTCTCTTATTAAAGTTTTAGGAAGTTATTTTAAGAAAAGAGCTGCATGGTGGCTCTTTCAGTAGTAARGGAATCCTGTGAAGAGAATGTTGGTTTAAACTGTGGATGCTGAACTAAAAAAAAATGAAAATATTAAGTACAGAGATGAGTATGGGAGATGATCATTTTTCATAATAAGCCCTTAAATGAGCTTGTGTTCATAAAGAAATTTTAAAAATACTGCTTACATGAATCTGTTTCACTGGCTTTTCTAGCACAGTGTCTTTTAAATCCTTTCCGTTTTTTTTCTAATTGGCAGTTATATTAGTTTTAGTCTGTTYCTTGATGTTCTGTCATGTGTTAATACAATTCTGTCCTTCAATKATATTTTCTCCATTGTTGCCAAACCTAGAAGGTACTCCTCTCATCTTTTATTTTCTTTGGTGTAAATTTTTTTGCTGTGATGTGGAGAAAGTTTTCTGAATGGTTCRCCAGTGTGCAGAGAAAAAGGGTGGGAGATGATGCCTTTTGTTTCTGTAGAAATACTTTTTTTTCATTGGAAATTCTTAAATGCATCACAGTTCATAATTTAATGCCCCTACACTAAAGAAATAATTTTGAATAGTTTTGTCATGTCCTTGAATTAAGTMTGCAGTATCCATCCCTGCTGTGAATAGACTCCTCTGGCAGGTTTTYCTTTTTGGAATTGACTGGTTTGGGCACCATGCTGTACAGCACATCTGTAACACTCTGACTAAACCTGGCCAGGTCTCTAAATGCTGTCAAATGAGATAAAATCTGTTTCCACAGCCAAAGAGTTAATTATATAAATGTACTCTGTCAAAGCAGGATCTTGGCATGTATCCCAAAAGGTGCTGTGTGAGAGCTGCAGTAAAACTAGAAAGCTAATGGGGAGAAACCCAAGAGTGGACATTGCTGTGATTTGGTGTGGTTTTATACCCCTATTTCCTCTCAGCTGAAAGCACTGAGTGCTCTGCTACATTTTGCTTTGTCATTGCTTTCAAGATGTTCAGAAATATTTGTAAATGTCTGCCGTTCTCATGAGATTCAGTTCCATTATTGTGATGCAAGTACCTACCCTSAGCTTACCTTTATCAAAAAATACCTTAAATTAGAAGTCCAAATCTGCTGTGTTCTATCACAGACTTTATAAGACATGGCACAGTYGTGCTGTGGTGCTCCATGTTACTGGTATGGTTTGCTTAGGAATGTCCAGCACCGAGCACATTGCCAAGACCAATGGACAGCCTCTCACATACCAAGATGGTTGTGATATTTAACTTGGAAAGATGAGACAATGCTTTCTGAAATCCTTGCAATCTCTTTCTATGCTATTTTCTAACAAAGAACCAAGCTTTTTTAACACAAATTTCTTATTCAATTTGCAGGTATAGTGGGTGCAACAGAAGCAATTAAGGAGATCACAYTAGACAGTAAGGTACCTGTTTCTAAATTTTCCTGTTGCTTGATTACAGGACCTGAAGGTAGTAGAGTTTTACCAGTGGCAATCTAATAGTCCCTGTGAAAGATTAAAATACAYTTTGTCACTTACTGTTTTGCAGATGTACGTTGACCCTCAGAGTCTGTGATGTTAGTCTAAGCATGTGTGTCTTCTTATTGCTGTGTTTACTGAGGCATTTGTCTTTTTGTAATGTCTTTAGCCAGTGTGCACCTGTGCCAGGCTTCTACAAACTGAAAATGAGATTCTGTTCACACTGATACAACACATTAGTGTTTCAAAATAATATTTGGAGATCCAGTGTAAAGAAATTTTTATATTAGAAGGTAGTGTGGGGATGTAAAGTATTTCTTCCTTCTGCAAGCAGACTTTCATTACATTTGGTCCACTTTGACAGGTTTATGCCCTTCAGTTTAGGAGAACTTTACCTGTTTAAATATATACAATAACAATAATATAATATAATAAATCTTATGAAGTCCTCAGATTTTGCCCATTTCCAAAAATCCTCTACATCAGGAGGAAAATCTGAAACTCAAKTCCTCAGGAAGTACTTGAAATGCAAATGTATTGGCCAACATTTAAAGAAACATGGAAAAAGTCACAGAGATACAAAATGCTTTTAAAGATGAGGTGGTGAGAGAAGTTCTGTGTGTGCTATGAGAGAGTAAACCATCCAAGCAGAAGTTTTGTATTCTAAAAATACGGGGGAAAGAAAATAGGCTGTCCTGTGCTACTGCATAATTGTAATCAGCTCAAAATGCTGTTGATTTGGTGAACGGTGAAATGCAGATATTTCAAATGACTGCTGAATATAGTAAAAATACTGCTTTTTTAYAAGTCAATCACATAATGGTGGAAGAAACACTCTAAGGAATAACTGTAGTTGATCACTTTTTCTGCAAAACAGAATACTTGCAAAATGTTACTGTGATTCATAACTGCTGTTGTGTGTTTTGCACGGTGTCTTATTTCTATTGTATGTAGAAAAATTTGCTTGCTTGGAGGTTGAGTCCAGGAGAACAACTCTTTCCTGCTGATATTCTGTTTGACAATGCACTTTGTAACTTAGTTTCTTACTGGTTTGAGTTTTTTGAGTTTTTTAAATGAAAAAAAAATCCGCCTGATATTTACAGTTAGAGGAGCTTCTAACTGTAGTAGCTATTTGGAATATTCTCTTAAAATCTCCATGAAACCTGTGTAAAKTGAGACCTTCACCTTCTGAATTTCACTGGAGTTGTCCTTTGTATTCTAATGCTTTGCAAGGCCCAAAAGTTGACTGTGGGCTAGTGCTATATTTGTTTCTGTTAGACTCTGTTTTCTTGGAGAATTATATCAAAATGTGACACCTTTTGTGACTCTCTTGTGTTTTRAAACAATTATGGAACTGGACAGGGCTCATAGTGTTTGGATCTGGGTGACACTTTTAGTCATATGGTAGAGTTCCATGTAGTCCCACAAAGAGCAGGGGTTTAGATGCAAGCATCCTTATGGGTCCCTTCCTTGAGATACTTTTTGATAACTGCAGCACAGTTTGCTGTGGGTTAGAACTTTAAAAACCTTAACCTTCATACTTAATCTTAGCAGTTTAGTCATTGCCTTTCATTTGAGATAGGTGGATTTTTTAACTGTTTAATACCATGTTCACTTTTTTTTGTTTAGGGATTAGGGTTAAAAAGTCAAAGGAAAAAATGTTAAATTATTTTTAATGTCATACTAGGACTTTGAAACCAAGTTGCATTAATAAGCAAGTACTTGAGTTCAGCATAATTCTTAATATTGCAGAAATTATCTTTGTGGTTCACTGAATGTGTTGACTGGACTTAACGCCTTAATTTTTTTGGGGCTGTTAGGCTGTGTAGGTGCGATAGTCATTAAAGCAATATTTTCCATTTAACTTCTAAAGGATAATATAAAAATACCAGAGTGTTCAGCATCTTGTGAAGATGATGATGAAGAGGATGAAGGAGAAGCTGCAGACATGGAAGGTATTTCCTTAAATTGAGTGGGACATGATTTATTTCAGGTCTTTAACTAAAGCAATACACTCTAAAAAAGCACCACTTGTTCTTTTCATGGAATGCGTACTGAAAAATTTCAGTAGGCAAGTGCTCTTTATCATCTTTTATATGATTTTATTTATGCATGTCTACTCTGACTTGTGTGCCAAAACCTGTGTGAATGTTAGTGATTGGAAAATTAATTTGTGTGGCAGAGCAGATTCAAGAAAGTATAAATTGGGGATTTATCACAGCTTTCTTCTGGCTTCATACCTACACTTAAAYTCAATTTGCCTGTATAAAATCACTGAAGTATTGGTCATCACCTACATACTGTAGTCTTGGTCAAACTTCTATTAAAAAAGGGGTAGTCTGGTTTGGGGATTGAGAAGTCTGTCTGAATAAAACTTCTTTAGATACATGTAGATTTTTTTAAGTAGTTGTTTATGAATAACAAATATAATGACAGGCTACAAGCTGAACACAGAATTTTATGGGTCTTCTTTTCAGAGTATGAAGAAAGTGGGCTATTGGAGACAGATGATGTGAGTGAACAGTTCTCTATCTTGTCTGTTACAATATAAGCACAAGCAAAGTAAAAATAATGATAACAAATGGCTGAAATAACAAGCTTATGCGTATCAGGGTTACTGAGCCTGATTTCCYATGGATTTGTCTCCTGCCAACCTGCTGCAGTAACTTGAATGCTTGGGTCCTCAAAGATCTTGCCCACAGAAATTTTCCTTGGTTTTGCTGCTCCTTTTTGCTCTGTTTACATATAACACTGTATTCATTAGAAGTTAAAAAATGCAGTGGTAGTTCTTGGGGCTTACATGGGGCAGATRAGTGCCCTGTAGGTTCAGCAGACTACACCAATCCATCAGACTTTCATGAGAGAAAACAGAAGGCCTCATTATTTGTGGTACTATCCTAAGGTCTTCATGAACCTGCATGAACTGAGACTTCTTTCCTCTGAATTTCATTGGTGTTGTCTGTTATTTGTGAAAGAAGGTAACAATGTAGTTGCCTACTTCCTTAAGAAATCAGGGCTTTTTTTAAAAGTTAAAAACCCACCAAAAATAAAACCAAAAATACTTATTGGGGGAGAAACTGATACTCCTAATTTAGAAATAAAAACAATCCATATATTGGGGGGGCTTTTATACCCACTTAAGAAAGTTAATAAAAGTTTTACTGTTTTATGAAACTACTTGGATGGGAAAGGAGGGAACCCAAGCAAGACTATACTAATCTTGCCATTTTTACCTTCAACCAGGCAACGCTTGACACAAGACAGATTGTAGAAGCTAACAAAACTAAAGTTGATGTTGGAGGGGAAGATGCTATTCTACAGACTAGAACTTATGACCTCTACATCACTTAYGACAAATATTACCAAACTCCAAGGCTCTGGTTATTTGGATATGATGAGGTATAGCTGTGTTGGGTTTTTTTCCTACTTCTGTGAATTTAGACTCACTGTGTAAATAGAAAGGCTATTTTGTTGCTTATTCACAGCAAAAATTTAAAGGAGAAAATGGTGAGACAACCATTAGGTAATACAAACTTATAGGCTGGACTTCTATGGTACTTGCAGGAGATTGGAACAGTTTTACTGAAAACTGCATGTGGTAACTGAGCAGTTTCAGTTTCAAAGAAAGCCACTGGAGTTTCTGTTAGCCCTGCAGAACTGGTAATAACCCCAGTGAACTCAATCAAGTAAGCAGGTATGTGTTTTCATCAGCTTTAGAGGGAAAGGAATATACAAATCATTCTTCACTTTAACCACTAGGCTTCTTGAGTTAAAGTTGTGAASGGCTTACTGCACCCACCTCGGTGGGAACCTAGTTGGTTGTCAGATACATTGACATCACACTCAAAGGAAGATCTGTGCAGTACTGCTTCTGTATCATATAGATTTTAACACACTCCTGTTTTTTCGGTGTACCTTCAGAACTATTAKATTTTAGATGCCTGTAATTTTTGATGCATCATCTATTGCTGATGTTAGAAGGGAGCAAGAGTCTTTTTTAGTAATGCTTTTGTTCTCGTGTTCCTTGTTCCTCTATAGCAACGGCAGCCTTTAACAGTAGAGCATATGTATGAAGATATTAGTCAAGATCACGTCAAGAAAACGGTGACCATTGAAAATCATCCTCATCTTCCTCCACCTCCTATGTGCTCAGTTCACCCATGCAGGTAAGTCTTCCTTTCTGGTCTGATTTCAACCTGTGGATACAAGGCTTTTCACTGGTCTTGTTAAGGATTCTGTTCAGGCTTTCTGGACCTGCATCCTCACCTGACTCTTATAGTGGGCTGTTAGCTTCTGAGGCAGGATGAAAGGAAGGTATCAGCAATTGTCAGAGTTCATTCCAGTGCTCACTGCAGCAAGTGCATTCTGCAGTTAGCACTGCTTTTTGTCTGATGAACTTGCTTTTACTCAGCTTCCCTATGGACTCCAGAAGATGGCATGTCAGGWGACARYTGGCAGTTGTAGRGATGGGGCAGATTGCTTGGATGCAATAAGCCGATTTTATTGATACAGAACACAGTATACCTTTTCAKCAGTAACTAAAAATAGATWCTTATATAAGCAGTAATCACTGTAACAACCATATTTATGTTTCTTCATAATATTGCAAAACTAGGAGCTAGCACTGACCAGTACCAGTACATACCAAACATGCCTTTCTCTTATGCTAGTTACTTTATGATAGGCCTCACTGCTTGCCATGGTTTGCTGCCTAGCAGTGTTMCCATGTCCACTTCTGACAAGAGCAGTGCTCTCACTTCTGCTTTCTAGCTGTATCCCTACATCTYCCCCTCTCTTATTTATGAGTAAATTTTTTTTGTTGACTTATCAATTAGTTTTTGAATATATTGTAAAACACATGGCAAATAAATTACTATAAGCAGTAATATGGCTAAAATAGAAATTTGTTTTTGTTAAATGTTTTAAGTTAGCTAGTAAGTTTCTATTTTCTAAGTATGTTTCTAAGTTAGTCATTATTTATAATTTTTAATTTGGTGACTCTTATTTTGAAGGGTCTGTGTGGTAGTATGACTACCAGAACTCAGTGAAATAAAATTTTATCCTTTTGTCTACTTTTTGGGGAGGGTAGAAGTGTAGTGTATACTTTGGCAGCAGAATTATTAATTTCTCTTTTTATGTTAACTCCTTTCTGCTCCCCTTTTAAATTTTGCACTGATAAATAGGGGTCCTGTAATTGCCATACCAAAATATTTATTAACACAAGTGTAAAACACATTTACATTTTTAGGATATTTTCTGTTGTAATTTCCACATTTCTCACGCAAGACATAAGGAGCCTGTAGTTCAACTTGCTGCACAGATATTTTTTCTAGGTCTTTGAAAGGTGCATCTTGTCTTAGKTGTAGGCTCTAACATCTTTCTAAGTGTCTTAGTGATACAGAGCCAATAGTGTAACTCCTCAGCTTCTTGACAGTGTGAAGTTCTTGGAGATTGGAGTTTGGACTTTTATCTTTTAGGAAAAGATATTCTTTATATGACTGCATATATTTAAAAAAGACTCAAAGTTCAGATTACCCCTTTAAGTTTGATTTCCTTTTATTTAAACACTTTGAATATCCACATCACTATCTGAAGGTCAAATAATCAGCTTATTTTTGACAAGCTTATRGTAGTTTTCACAGACTCAAAGCATTCTTGCTTTTGGTTTAGAAGTTATTTGTTCTTCTGGTTTAGCATTTATTTGCTCATCAGTCTTAAGAGAGCAAGGGAACTTTACAAGTATTTTATGTCTAATTTTGGTCTTACTATGAGGATATATATTCATGAGCTTTGTAAATCTGTATCTCATTTTTCTTGCAGGTCATAGTTCTTTGACCACAGCTTTACAACAGTGTTTGTTTTCACCAAGCAGTCAGACTTACATATAGACAATATTGAGCAGARAAGCCATTGTACAATTGGGAAATAACTTTTTCTCCTCTTTAGCTGTTTAGAAGAAAAATTTGGAGTTCAAAAGTTCATTGTTGGCCTTTAAATCATAGGGTTTAAGTCTGCACTAACATGAAATGTCAATCTTGGTTAATASAAGAAGCAAAACTTGGTTAACTGTTAGGAAAACAATAAAGAATAGAACAAAAAACAACATAAGTCCTCTGTTAATGTGTGGAACCATCCACATGTTGAATATTGCATTACAGCTCTGGTTATCTGTTCTGTAATCTGTGAGATGAAGGAAGACTAAAACTGGAAAAGACATGGAGAGTTGTATGGGATAACTGAAGTTATAAAGCTCTTTCCCATAAYAGTAATTGAATAATCTGTCATCCTTTATCTTTGGAAAAAGCTGAGCAGGGAGTTACGATATCAGTGACCTTCATTGTGAATGACGCAGAAGGTGAAGTGATAGGATTTTTCTTCCAACAGTGAAACTAGTGGCATTGAATGCTACTCTGCCAGCATGTTCCAACCCAGAAAGGATTAATTACTGCACATGCCACCTAACTAAACTAAGTATTTATTTAAGCAATATTATGTTAATGAAATAAAAATTCATCAAGGTTGTTAGAAGTGTAGTTATTATAATGGTTCAGAATTAGAAAGTCTCTGGGTAATTTCTAGTATACAGCTGTGGTGRTTTGGACAGATCATTTATTTGGTGCTTGTCCTGGCCTCTTTATTGAGCATGTACTGTAAGATAGTAAGCAGAACCAGGCAGACSTTTGGTTTGATCCAGTAAGGTATTCTTGTACCTTATATAAACATGCCAGTYTAAATCTCAACCTGTTAGTTGACTGAYTRTCTTATTRTTTGCTGCTTGAAGGATTTTGGACMAAAAAGGGATGCAGCTTTTTGTRCAGCTAGTGTTTTTGAAGGAGTGTCAAGTGGGATGAATGTAGGAGGGCTTAACAGACTGACTGGGAAGATGGTTAATAGGAGAAAAGGAGGAAAAGAATCCTGAAGCCAAAATTTAATTTACTTTGTGTTTGCTGGAAGCCCTGCTAGTGAATTGTTTGGGAAGAAGCTCCTGTTGATGCAGATTAGGAGGGCACTCGGAACTAAGAAAGGTGCAGATGTATTTGGGTATGACAGCCCTAATTGACTAGGTAGAGCTGTGGTTTTATACTGTGGCTGCAATGTGATTTGCTTACCTTAAGTTACTCTGMAGAGATCTTAGCAGTGCATTGCTAATCTGTGAATTTGGGGTGAGTTTCTTCATGCGTGAGAGCTCTGYGGTCATGTTTTCACTTCTTCCTCTGAAGCCAGTGAAGTGCCAGTTCCTTTGTTATGTAATCTACAGCTACACGTGCAGGAATAGTTTGCATCATGAGACTTGTTTTAGTTTTAAGCATGAAAGAGATGATTGACATTGAAGTGAGACAGGTTTGTAGCTAGTCTTAAATGTGGAGGAAACTGTAGCCCCTCTCAAAAAGCAATCTCATGGATTTGCAGCTGCTTAGTACTGGAAAGGGTTGAAAAGGTGGTGTTGAGACTMTGAAGAAAGATGCTAACAGCATATCTACAATGCAGGTTTTAAGTATGTTTTCTTACACTCCAAGGTGAGCTATTTCTTTTGTAACTGGTAAGGCTAACAGCTAAGAAGGTCCAGGCTTGTGTGAAAAACTAATAACCTAACTGTTGCTTTGTTTTTAATTCAACTGGGAACTGCAAGTGTTTGGTTACATCTACTGCTCTTGCTTCCCGTCATGTTACAAGAATTGTGTAATGTAGGATATTTGTATGATTCCAAACTTACCTTTTCTGTGACGTGAGTATCCTTATGTCAGGCGTCAGAGAAAGGAAAGAAATGGTGGTCAGATGCTGCTGTCAGCTGCTTGAGATTGCTTCTATTTCAAGTAGTTAATGGAAATTGTTCATCTTACRGCTTTTTTGTAAGTTGTTGTTCTTGTCAGCATTTTTATGGTACTGGGAGGARCACAGTCAACTTCCTCATTAATTGCTGTAAAYTGCTTTAATCATGATTTTCAGCTTTTTCTGTGGGTGTTCCGAAGGGACTATCAAACAAGTTAACCACTAAACACATTTACAATAAAATCATCGTTGCTTGCGCTGCTTCCAAGGGCTTATTTTTSTCCACTTCAGAATAAATAATAATAGGCTTCTGAATTCTTTTTCCTTCTAATGTATTCCTAAATATCTGCAGAGAAAGATTTCTAGAAAACAGAAATTTCTAGAAATTACATTTACATTTCTTCAAAATGTTACATTTCTTCAAAAGTTACATTTCTTCAAAAGTTATTTCATTCCATTGTAGTGTATACATATTTCATATTGATTCCTCCAAGTTTTCTTACAGAAGAAAACTGAAAACAAGAAACAAATTTACAAAGTTTATAAAGCACCTGTAAAGCTTTTCATGAGTAACTATATGRCTATAAGAATGACCATTACTCTGTGGCCATTTTAGAATTCTGGGTATCTGAGTAGTTCTTAGAAAATAGAAAAGAACGGATGTCAGTAACATGTCTGAAGTTGAGCCAGTATGCTGTTRAAGACTTCTAATAGCTGCATGGTGACCTGTATTCGGTGCCAGTAAAAAAAATAGTCCACAGTTATGCATAAGGTCAAAACTTAAGTTTTGGCAGTGGCCAAGTTCCTACAGAGAAGCAGCTGGCATTGGCACCTGAAGTGGCATGTGTTCTGCAGGGCATCATGAGGATCCAGAATTGGAATCAKCTSTGAGGGTTAGTTGATTTACAAAGACCAACAGTAAATGACAAATGCTGACCTTTAAGATTTCCAAAGGCTTGCATGTTCCTGTTTGCAATGTGTCTTGGTAACTTTGCAACAGCTTCCTTCCTTGTTTGCAGTCATTGGCACCATGATTATCTGCGGAGGTAACTGCTAAATGCCAGTTGCTGGTCTGCTATTTAGATTGACGTTCTGGTATCAAAGCATGGTCAGAAAGTTATGCAAACTCTGCTTCCCACTCATCCTTGTTTTCACTTGGCACTTCGATTATTTTGAGATGGGTGTTTTAAACTACTTCTGTTCACTAACCTGCAGTGCTGTGTAGGATGCCCATAGCCCTATATGATATCACTGGTGAAGATTACCTACAGAATTATGTATTTAAAACAAGGTTGAAGTCTGGATAAACATAGGATTAGTTATACAGCCTGGGAGTTTGTGTTAAAGATAAATAAATAAAACATAAATTACCATACAGTAGTTCTCCCCTCTGATTTTGTATGTTCTTAATCCTTTAGTTATGGGGTAGAGAACTGCATTGAACACAAGAACATTACCTCCAAATTGGAACTGGTCATTAAAAGATTTGAAGTCTTTTTATCATTAGAGATATTCAGAACTGGAGCAGACAAGGTCCTGAGTGATCTGTTCTAGTTGACTGCTCATGGAGCAAGGAGGTTTAGACTAGATGATGACCAGTCTCTTCCAGCTGTGGCTATGCTGTAATTTTGTGTTGGATTCCCAGGGCTGGCTTTGTACACAAATACTGAGTGGTTCATAGTAGGTCTGGGATGTCACTGATGAGTATGTAAAAACTCCGTGACTTGAAGAAATATTTATCCTTCCCTATAGTGCTTTACAATAACAGAGATACAAGAGAGAAGAAACTAGCTTAGAAAGTGCTGATTTGCMATAGAACCCAAACTACCACCAGAGAAAGTTTCCATAGTCTAAACCAGTCCTAGAGCAATAATTCRGAATTTATGCAGGGTTGTTTTAACCTGCCTTTCCTAGGAAACTGAATTGTCTTAGTGTTTTAAACCTCTTTAAGCTTTACATRTTGGAGTGAAGCAGAGACAGCTAAAAATGTTACGTCAGTTTCTAGACATTTTCTTCAGGGGGAATCTGGAACTTSTRGTGGCTGGCTACTGGTCAGTGTTAYCTTCTAGGGACTTACTTGGTTGCTGTTTTGGCATCTAGCAATTAAAAATTGTACTATGTCAAGCAGTATGCACCGACTTTCATTATGGCACTCAGTCTACCTTGTAACATACAACATCTTTTGCTTTCCCTTGAATTTATGAAGCTGTTAAATAATGTTACATTCATCACTTAATGTTAATTTTCAGTTACTGTTGCTATTTTACTTTCTCGGTAKCCTGAAAATTCCCTGCTTCTGAAGCTAATGGTCCAAAATTATTTCATTTGCACAAAACCTGATCTTACTGATGAAGAGGGAGTTGCCTCTTTCTTAAAATATATTGTTTCTGATCTGTTTTTCAGGCATGCAGAAGTCATGAAGAAAATAATTGAGACTGTTGCAGAAGGTGGGGGAGAGCTTGGAGTTCACATGTATCCTTTTTCATTTCTACAGAGATTCCTGGAGACTCCTTACCCTGTAAAGGCTTTTACCTCAAGGTTCATAAACTGGAACACAGTTGTGTGTGGAAAGCAGTGAACAGCTGCTTGGGATAGCACTTGTTGGAGTTCTGGGATGAGCTCCTTTGTGCAAACAGACTCCATAAAGTTATTGGGGGACCATGGAGTGGTGTATGGCAAGAGCAGTGGGGAAAGTAGGTAGGTTTGAAGGGACAGAATTGAGCCCTTGTTTGTAGGGCTGTGAAGGAGGTAGCTGTGAGTATGAAACAGAGATGCAAGAGTAGGAGGGTGAGACTGGAGGTCCACAGACTCCATCCAGAGTGTAATCTAGTTGGTACAGCAGCTTTTGTGTTAGATTTTAATTTGAAATCCATTTCTGAAAGGTGTAAAGGTCCCACTGTGTTCTCTAGTCTGCTTGTGAGCAACATCTCAGTGAAACAGCTGATAAAAAGCAATGAAAATCACTGTAACCATTCTGAACATCAATATCAAATGCCTCCCAATTAGAATTTTCTTTTAGGAAGCTGACTGATCTTAGTTATGTTTGCACTAATTGATACTGTGCTTTCTGACTGGAGCAACCTTCGTATTAGAAGCAAGTGTGTCCTTTCAAAAGAGTGTTTTTTGCTGCTGTAAGGCAAATAAGGAGGAGTTACTGAGCAGCTGAAGGTCCTGAATCAGTAAAATTCTTATTCACTTATGAGGTGAGACTTGGTCAAGTTTGCAACAAGCAACTGSAACTGAACTGGAGAATAACTTCTCTGTCACATCTCTTAGTCCTCAATACTTGCAAGTTCGCTTATTGTATTGTATTACTTTTTTGTTATTACTTAGCAAATTGGGGCATTTTTAACAAGGGATTTCTTTACTCATTTTCATGTATCTTCTGTTTGTGGAAAAATGGTCCATGAGACTGATATGTCAAAACAGTAGTGTTTGCTTATACCGGTACCCATGTAACTTAATAGTCAAGACTAGTGATATCTTTTAATTTTTCACTTCTTTGTCTGCCTCTTTCCYACATGGGCAGACATTTTAGATCGTAATTATTCAAGATACTCCARACTGCAAATTCAGGCCCAACATGCATTTGAAGGTGATATGTACAAGGGAATGCTTTTCTGCAAAGGCAAACTGCTCAGCTTGGGAAAGCTAATCTCTGTACTTTCCCTTGAAAGTGAACAGGAAGGAGCTCTTTCAAAGGATGGCTCAGAATAGGAGCTGATTTCTTTTTCTGAACCACTGTAATGCCAAGGAGGGAGCCTGCTTTCCCTGCAACTACAGGAAGGTAGCTAGGAATTAACCTTTCTGGGTACAATTCAYCTAAACATTTGTTAATAACAAATAYTAAGACTGTAAATGGAGTTGATGTTTGYATGGTGTCTGCAAGATTTATTGAAAATAACTCCTGGTTCCCTGCATTAACTTTAAACAGAAGGTCTATTTTTGATCAAGCATCAGATATCATTACCAGAATTCTGCAATATTAATCTCCCAGTCTCTTAACTCTAAAGTAGCTAGGTGTTATTTTCCTATTAGCAAGAAGTACTGTTGAGCAGACCATTGAATGTGATTTCTTTGTTTTGTAAGATTTCTAGCTATTTCACATTTTCCTTAATAAGAAACTCAGGTAYCTTCTTATTTTCTTGAAATTTGTACAGGCGGTCATTCCAACGATAGAATATGACTACACAAGGCACTTTACGATGTAACTAAAATAAGAAATGTGTTCCTCTAATTATCAAATCTTTTTTTAAATAACCCATCCATGTGACTTATACAACATTATACACAATTTCTGTAACTAATCTTTTATCAACTTGACGCATTAAAATAAAATGTTCCATTACCAGCCTTTTTAATAAAAATCTCTGTGCGTAATATAAATAAATCACTTTCATTCCAGTACAGATGCTGCACTAAGAGGTGGGATTTTTTTTTTCTCCATAATTCCTTCAATTTCCTTCCATCAGATTATTTTTGTGTATGTTGAAATCCACTTTTGTAGTAGAAGCCTAGTAGTTTTGGCTTTGTTGCTCGTGCCTAAAAATCTGAACTTTTAATTTTTTCCTCTCTCATTTAAATTCACTTGAGAGYTTTATGGGGTTTCTTTCCTAGCTATGAATGCTTATATTTCCTCTAGTTGGAGGAGGATTTTGAAAGATGAAAAACATAAGTGATTGTCCTGTTAGGAAAGTTTGGCTACATCTTAAACAAGTAACTGTAATTAACCAGTGTTTGAAAGGTGATCTACATCGAGCAAGACTAGAGATGGAATATTTTGGGAGACAAAGGAAGAATATTAATTATGTAATCTGTTTGTCTGGTAGTGAAGTACAGTGTTATTGACCAAATTTACAGYATGAGGGTAAAGGGAGAACATTGCTATGGGGAGAAGATTGCTATGGCAGAGCAAGGTTCAGTCTGGGTTATTTGTCTGCCTCAGCTACACCAACTGTCAGTCTGATAGCATGGTTTCCTCTTTGGGATAAACAKACATGGAGTTGTTGATGGATTCAGATATTGCAAAGGGATCCAGGCTTTAGCAGCCACTTTCAGCCATATAAAATGTAAGGATTTTATTAATGAAATTGGAGGAAAGGACCATCATGTCTCAATATATGTATATTTGTGCATATATTTGTAATCCTTATATTCACTTAAAATGTCTGTTGGGAGAGCATCTCTGTCTCCCAAACATCCATCTTTCATTCTGCAARTTGATGAGAAATTGGGTGTCTGCAATGAACTGAATTTGCTGTTGGRTAGGAAGGCTGGTCCCTGTCCTGGCACAGATGGTCCCTGGTTTGGCTRTCCTCTGTACCATGCTCTTACTTACATGGGAATGTGTGATCAGGTTCTGTGTTCTATGCTTAAATTGGCTTTCCTCTGGATATCTGTCTTCACTTCCTCTTTTTTGGACAATATCTTTAGCAATGTCTATRTAAGTAAAAGTAATGCTGGCTGAAACCTGCTGAAAACTTAACCACACCCGCTGAGTCATGCCATAGGAATTTTCCTATGAAACTGATCTCRAAGATGTTTTGGGCTTTCTGGTAACAAAGGAAGCAGCTGTCCTCCACCGGACAAATACAGGGGTTTTTGGAATGGGGCGAAGAGAGGGAATGTGGCTTAAAATAACRTGTAGTGATTTATATATTTTTTCCTTTGCTGGATCAGAATGTTTTGAAACATCTTTCTCCCTAAAAGGTGTCTATTATTCTCRTTTAGGAGGGTGAATTAGTTTCACAAGTCCCCAGTAAGTCAAGTTATAAAATACCACATTAGCAAGTGGTATGACTTCTTTTTCGTTGTTTTAAACTATAAACCAAAAAAAGCCTTTTTCTCTGACCCTACCAGAAAAAGAGGCCCAGCAGAACTGAAGATAACTTGCCAATGGCTTCCATCAGCGCCATGATATTTAATGCCTTAAGGCATTTTAGCACAGCAATGTCTGGTGTCACAAAAGCCAATCCTTGGTGACTAATGCATGGTGCTCTGCTTGGCTGTATCTTCAAGCAAATTGGACCTGGGCACACTTGCAGCAGTTGTACTACTCCTTAATCCTCTTCTTCCTTTGGGATTAATGTTTAAAATTATTGATAGAACCAAAGATTGCTGCTGTAGGAGCTACTATAAACATGCAAATGTAATAACTTCAGTTAAAGCTTCTCTGAAATCCTACATGATCATTGATTATCTGAATTTTGTCTCTCAAGAAGAGCTTCTGAGTTCTGCTCTGCTCCCTTTCCTRCTACACATCTTACAGTTCCTGTGACTCTTTACTTGCCTTCTAGATCTCTGTTGATCTTGGACTTTGAGTACATTCTCATTTGCAGGTGCTGCATGCATGAAGATCTGGGGGAAAGTTTGATTCTACTGAATCTAAAAGTTCTGCACAGTGAATGAGTTATGATGCAAAGGCAATAACCTCATGGAGATGTAAAATAATTACCATCACAACCTATTGTCAAACTTCAGATATCTAGACCTTAATTTACATTAAATGTAAAACTAGTATAATAATAGTAAAAAATTTTGAAATACCAGCAAATGCTTGCTTCCAATAAAAAATGTGGAATATAAAAATCAAAGCAGTAACTGTGGGAAGTGCAGTTCTGTATTTAGTTTTTTTAAAAGTCTAATCAAAGCCTAAGCTACAAGTAATGAAGGATGGAAATAGTTTTGAACAAACAGGACAAACAAATTTCAACTTTGTCCTTCTGTCACTACATTTTTAGGTGTGGGAAAGTGGAGTTTGTTTAACCAGCTTGCAAACAAAGAGCCTGAGCCATTGCTAGAGACCTASCAATGCTTTRAATTCGTCTGTGTTGTGAAGTCACTAGGGACAGTTATAATTTAATGTCATTGTCTAAAAGCTTACTGATTTCATGGTTTTTTTTTTTTTTTTTTTTCTGAAACATACCTATCAGTTTTTCTAATGGAAAATAACCTTTTATGCCAGTAACTTGCAAGATCTGTTTTAAGGCTACTGTTTGAAAAGAAAAAAAAAAGATACCCAGATGTAGAAAATTCAACCATATAAAAGAAGAAAAATGCAATTCATCCAGAATATCATATTTATTTGAAGTAGGTGTGTACAACTTGATAAGAGGTTCTTTTTTGATAGTCCTGTTTCAGTTGCAACAAGGATTTATGATAAAAAAAGATGCAAATCTTCTTAATTGCAAACTCTTGCAGTGAAATTCTTACTGTTATTCTCTGCAGTGCAAAATCCAAGATGAATATGCTGTTAGACTGACAGCATGAGGGCAGCTGCTCTAGTGTTGCATATCAGTTGTAAGCCTGGGCAAACACAAAAATCTTTAGTAAAGAAGGCAAACTGGAACACAGAGAACACAAACATTGAGTAGGAGCAAAATGTTTCATTGAGTCAAACTAAATTTTTTCTGTCAAAAAGTAAACACACAGGGAAAAAATGGGCTTCATTTAAGTCAGCCATTAAAGCAGTTTTTGAAGAGAGGAAGCTTGTGTATCCTCTTTTGTTCCTCAAAATGATTTTTCAGACCACAAAACAGTGGGTTTAGGCAAAATCATTAAAGCACTGAAATTAGGTTTTACAGTATTTAGAAAAAATACCTATTTCTTTTTCTCTGGAGCTTTATGGAACTCAACATTTCTCTGCAAATAATTTTGGGTCCTGCTAAATAATTAGTTTTGGCAAACACTTGACTAGAGAAACACCCAGTTCTAATAAGGGATATTTGCTTTTCTACTAAGGAAAAATACAGGTTTAAAACATGTGAGTGCATTTAGGTTTAAATCAACATGATTATCTGTCTTCTGAAGCACTTCTGAAGTGCCAGGGCAAACTGAATGCCCTTCTACATTCTGACTGCCTTTTAGTTTGTTTATGACCACAGAAGTCTCACATGTACACAATATAGTCTTGTGTAGGCTGTCATCAAAACGCATATGCATCTTCCTTTTATGTAACTTGTCTGAAGGAAAGCCTCCATTTCTCTGCCATCTTTTCTTTTTGCTGGCTCATATGGGTTTTTTTTGGCATAGCACATGTACTTCCAGCTTCTAAACTGAGCAGTTTCACAGGTTAACCTTTCTTGGCTTTAGTGCCCATTCGCAGAAGTGAAGATAYTCAGCTGATGGCCTCTGTTCCAAGCTGTGCCTGGCAGATTTGGTAAGTGCCCCTTCTGTCTTTTACCTATTTCAGAACCATATGTTCACTGCTGATTCAATAATTAACTCCTTGTTTGCCCATGAAGTCTGTTCACCCTACACTAACAAAATATGCTTGCTGGGCCGCTGTGCATTGATTTGGGTGTTTGAAGGAGAGATCTCTGTTAGGGCATTATTAGAAGCCAATTCCACAATGGTTGTACATTTTCTTTTCTGTACTTGCTCCCTCTCCATCACCATAATACAGTTGTGAAACTGATGGCAGGCATTAGGATATGAGTGCCTGCTGGCACTTAGAATATTGATTTCGATGAAGTAGAACCAAGTTTGTTGTAGATCCTAATCTTATTTCCAGCAAGTTGCATATCACCACTTTACACCTCTTTTTAAAGATCTGTTCTTGATTACTCAGAATCAGCCTAGGCTATTTCACCCAGCCTAGGTGAAAAACTGGCAATACCAGTTAATTTTACAGGTCATCTTTAGAGCAGAACTGCAAGTATACCGTTAGTGTGTTTTCACATGTAGAAATCAAGACCATAATTACCAGGTGGGAGAATAGACAGTAATGCTGCCCAGCTGGAAGATGCAGAAACTATTCTTAGTGTTAAAAGATACCACTTAGGCTTCTCTTTCCATGCTTGGTTTTCACTGGGTATTTCAGTATCAGCACATCCCAAAGATACTCTTTGTTTTTGGAATAGCATTTTTCATTGTGCTGCAGAGATTGTCTTGCCAGCCTGGATTAGACCCACATTCCTCTGTGCATGGCTTTTGRCCACATTAATTTTTTTGATGTTATTGTTGACTTGTAATTTACATTTGAACATGTGGGTAAGCAGTGAGGATAAATACAAATTTTGCAGCAGGTGCAGTGTTAGAAGTGGAAAAAATCACAGCTAACATATGATAGCCAATAAAGTTGCATTGTCTTGACTCCAGCCTGAAGCATGTATTCTATAGTCACTTGTCCTGGACTAATAATAGCTTTTAGGCAACTAATGTTAATTTAAAAAAAAAATATATGTATGTATTAGACTTCACAACATCAGACAGGAAATAATTGCAGATAGTAGAAATTAATGGTCAGATGGAAGGAACAAGGTCTTTGGATTATTAATGATGAACACTGTGAAACTTCACAAAGCCTAGAGGATACAGTGTAATGGAATAGCTCAAATAAAGGGGAGGGGAACAAAACRGGCTGACCCAGATAATTTTGGGCAGCTCAATTTTGCATTGATACTTACAGTGTAAGAGGAGAAAACAAGTGAGCAGCCAGTGTTGGACTTCTTAAGGGGTTAAAGAATGGTAACAAATGGTAATCAAKGTAGCTTAATGGAAAGTATCTCTAGTCAATTTGATTCTTTAAAATAATCAATATTATCAGCCACATGTACAAAATAAATACTTTTTACCTTTAAAGTGATATTGCAKAATTTAATTGACTAAGAAATTTCAAAAATACAGCTCCCAAAATCATGGAAATGGATAAAAGAGGAGTAACCAATTGATGTCAGTTTTGATGATTCCCAGCTCACAGACACAAAGATGGGGGGCGGGGGGTTAACAGGTGATCTGGGTATTAATTCTTAGCCTACTTATAATGGAAATTCAAATGCAAACCCTTAGTTTATTTAACAGAATCACAGGAAGACTTGTTTAAACAAGTATACCATGATGTCTGTAGTCTTATACTGTCTAAGGGAGCACAATTGTTTTCAGGTTTATGCACCAAATATCCTGATGTTTGGTAAGGGAGCATTTTGCTATTGGTCTTCATAAATTTTTTTCCCATCCATTTTCCCTATTTCTTCTAAGGCCATATGGTACCATATTAGTCTGGATAGAATTAACCAGGCTGTCAGGCCATTCAGCTG